GGATGTCAATCCTTCTGATGTTTATTCCTGTGCACTACAGGGGCCATTTTTGTTGGAAAAAATCTGCATAGCTGAGAACCATAACATTTGGAAAACGAGAAACACTTGAATGCAGATATTCACCTGGATAGTGAGATAACGTGTACACTTACTGATTCCCGAAACCACTGAAGTGACTTCGTTCTATTCAGTGAATTAACAAGCGTATGGGCGGATGTTAACTTGGACTTTTATCAGAGGGGGGTGCCAAACTATACATATCGGCCACTGAAGATGCATACATCGAATATTGAATAGTCTCGATGCCAAATGTGGTCGGAATTGAACTTTTATCACAAACACTGTGTATGTACTGAAGAGCAATATTTTCCCTTTCGTTCCATAACTTGCAAACACCTTAAAGTGTTACAATAGAGCCACATGTCCTTACTTACGCGTGGCTCAAATGTTGTAGTCCTGTTGACTATTATCAACTTGACAATGCCTTTAAACTGGCTTCTTTCATCACATGATTCAAGACGTGAGAAGAAAGTCTACAAAATTATTTCATCCCACTATATACCGATAAGCAGGTGCCGGGCTTTGGAGTGGGGTCCGGTAGTAAGGACCACGAATCCCGAACGTGCACCACATGGCTTTTACAAGAGCTCACATGGGCTTGTTATTTCGTCCACCATGTTCCACAATGAAAGGCATACTTTTGGTGGGCCTTAGTGGGTGAACGACTGCAACTAACTCAGGAGGTGGCAGCAGAAACCGAAATAAGTCCTGCGACGCTTAGAATGAATAAAAATTCCTCTTAATAGCAGCTCTAGAGGGCGGAAATTGCACAGGCGTACTGGTTGTTCCGTTAAGTTTCTGAATAATTTTGAGGCAGGGATTGCCCATCTGTATATAATCTGCAATGCGGTGATGAAAGATATTGGATACTGTAAGCGAATGCATTGTAGAGTCACACACTTCCCCAAAATCAATAGCCTAGGGTTTGACGACTTTCGACATTGATGCTGGCCTTGATAGTTTAACTGGGCTCGCTAAGCTGAAGGCACCCGGCCAAGCATCCTCGCCATTTGGCACGCTGTCGTGCTACGTTGCATTGCTCGTATTCGACTCTCTAGCCAGTTAGTTGGAACGCATCGGTATTTTGGCACAACCATCCAAATATACTATTCCATCCGACTACGCTATCGTGTTCTTCCTTGGTCTCGTATTCGCGGGTATATAACAAGTCCGAATAATTAGTGATTGGTCTTTGCGTCTGTCAAGTTCGCACCAGGACAAATCCTAAAGCATAATGAGGAGCGATGAACCGGCTTCCCTGGAGGTTGATTGCACGCTACTTCTAATTAGCGTACATTCTGAAGCCTAGTGTTATCGCTTTTACTCTTCAAGAATCCAAAATGCCTTTTAATTTGATGTTGTTTGTTTGTACTTTTATGTGAACGGCAACTGCACGCCCTCCAAATCCAAATGCAGTAAGTACAGTTTTTCGGCGCCCAGTTTGTCATTGTCCTAAATGGTTCGTGTTAACGATAAAGGTAAGAGTTACTTTTGACCCTTTCCTTATTTATAATTTGATTCGCTTGTAACCTGCATGCTTATACAATATTCGGTGAGTTATATGCAGTGAGAATATATCGAATTTTCGCCAGTCTGCACCGTTAGCATTAAATAGCTCAGTTCTACACTCTCTGGCATCTTAAGTCGACCGTTTAAGGCTTTGGGTGATATGGTTCAGAAGTGGCTGCAGTAGTGCATTCGCTTTCACATAATATCCACTCTAACTACTTCACATATAGTTTGTCTTGTCATCACGTCCCACATGACTTTCTGCAGAAGACACATGTGTCTTGCAATCACAACTTGTCTATATCCCTTTCCTTCATCTTTTCTTTTTCTTTCATACCGGTATGCTAACATGAGTTGTAGCAAGCTGGAAAGTGGTGCAACATTGCTACGACCCATTTTGGTGTTGGCTTCTTGACTAGGAACTGTTAACAGGATCTGACCAGACCGAAGTCGACACCGTCTTACTAATTCAATGCGGCTTTTCTTTGGATCGCGATGTCATAGCGTGCAGTTGTCCTAGCATTATCCCACTCATGAATCTTGTGCCCATTGAAAGGTCGACAACTTTCCGTCCATCTGTTCACTTTATAGTATTTGAATTTTGATAGATTATATTCCCAGTTGTCTTCATTTGTGAAGATTCTTATATTAGCTTTTAGCAGAGTTAATCGTGTTTCTACTGTCGACTAGTCTCCTAATTGTTCGACAGTTGTGATGGAAATCAACTTGTTCTACTTCCTTTTTTAAAATGAGGCCTTGAGCTGTAAACGTATACCCAGTCACTCTGCTTCTGAGTGCAATGTTGAAAATATCCAGACCAACTACGGATTCGATTGCTTCGAAAAATTTGGACACCGAATTGATGTAATTAGTTCCGTAGAATTTATGTTATTTGTGCAATCTTGGCGTATTATACTGTGACGAGCGAGATAAACTTTGCGTGATTTATTAACGTTTCTATTTCCCTAGGGCACCCTTTTTGATCATCCAAGTGAATTTTCATAATGAACGATGGTCAAGTTAATAAATCTTAGTGATTTAAAACGGCTGAGGAAGCTTTTTTTCAAGCTGTGTAAGGTAGTACACAAAGAGGTGGAGAGTTTCCTTCAGGTGTGATAAGTTATTAAAAAGGAATTATTATTTAGGAAAGCAGAAACTTTGGAGTAAGTCATATGGAGTAGTGTAGTAATGTGGTACCTAGACTGTTGTACCAGGTTCAGCGACCCTGACTGACGGTGTCACGTTGATTAACGCAATGCCCCTCAGTACTCAGTGACTTAATATGTCTGCCATGTTTTGTCCCGGTTGTCCTTTGATTTTTTTTCCAATCTCGCAACATTGACCATTATCAAAGTTCATATGACACTCTGTTGTGCTTCACGTTCCATAGTTGCCTTTAGTAATGGAGATCCAATCTGGGAGACTGGCCCTATCGGCTTGGTTGAAAACCTGCACTTGATTTTTATTTTTCAGAAGTTCACTACACTACGAGCGGTGCCATAAAAAACACTAGCAGCATAGTATACGTAATTTTAAGGTGCATGCTTTTGATGTGCTTTCGCCTTTTCGCTGTGTGATTGCGTAAGTTAGTAGATGTTGAGCAACGTATGTATCCGTAGTAAATGTCTTCCAGCCTATGCTTCATTAAATGTGGTGACCAACATGTTTCGATTACTTTCTCAATCTTAGTGTCAGTGACTACTGCGGCCAGGGCCTCATTTCGCAGCTGCTAAGTAACATTGTAGGATAAAGAATAGTTTCATTGTTAGCGTCTGTTGATGCATCACGATTTCCTGGATAGAGTTAATGAGACTATGATACTTAATAACCTGAAACGCTATCACAGTTCAAAATCGATTGTGATGTAGTCTCCCTGTTCTCTAGTTTTGTAACGCAGTGCAAAAGCAATGAGATTTTCGTGTGTTTGACGTAAATATTTTTCACATCTCGATCAGTTTTCTTCCGTGGCCTCTCTTCATGCATTCTTATCGTAACATAAGTTTGTCATGCAATTCTGAATGTACGTTTTATACTGAATCCGTAATGTTACTGGTAAATGAAATTATAAGTACTTAAGGCATGCCGCATCCAGACTACCCCTTAAATTTCTCAAAGAACTGTACCTTATCAACTTACCACAGTTGTCAACCAAAAATCTTTCAGCAGATTTTCCCTATAAAAGTGTAAGTAAAAGGGATCGCCTTCAGCATTGCGCTATTCAGTTGTTACTAATACTCATTGTAGCCAATGAAACAGAACGGGATGAATAAGACAGTTTAATACCACAAGAATGCATTATAATGAAGGCTGAATGAATAGTTTTTTCCTGTCACTGATAAACATGCCCGAAACTATGCTTCGTATTTGAGACTGCCAATGACAAGCGTGACAAAAGTCTGAATGTTCCAATTTTAACTTGAAACTACTCCAGTGAACAAATCTGTTGTCGTTAGGTTCCTAGACAAAGAAACAAAGTTTCAACTGATGCACTTTCATCCAGGCTCGGGTCTTCCTCAATGGCTCATTACACATGGACAGGTATTTGACTGTCTTAAGATGTCATGACGCTTATCGGCAACACTAAAGTGGTGACTGATTTTAAAGCTGGAGAATGAATATCTGAATAAAGGACTATTGGAGTGTATGTATGAGGCTGTTTTCAAGACGTAAACGCCGAAATCTATAAAAAATATATAATGAAGGTAATTTATGACTCAACCAGTAAAACTTGTCAGTTGATAAATATGTTGCTATAAGTTCCTACTAATGGATGTAGGACTGCATCTAATTCCATCAAAGTATCATCATGCTTGCAATTATCCGAATTAGTGTCGGAGTTTGCCTTGGTGATTGAGTTGCCGTATATATGAAACAGCCGTCCCGTGGGTTTGAATCCCACTCCACCTACCTAGGTTCGGGCAGCCAGGTAGTATCACTAGCCCTCACACAGTAGGTGTGGCTCACTGCCTATCGCATGGATGTGCACACGTTTGCTTAGTGGATTTCAATTTTCAACTTATAGCCCTCAGTTTCTGATGCTTCATCCCTTAATGCATGCACTTCAGTGTGGTTTTTGGGTTGTACTATACTATTTTATTTTTTTACATGTTTTGGCAACTGGTATCTATATTTGTTCTAGGAGTACGACAAAGTTTTCAAACCTGTCATGAGTACTGACCTAGTTTATTCAAAAGTCTCTTAAATCGAAGTTTAACAATAATGCTTCATAATTATATAATAAGACAAATAATCAATACTTTTTAATGTTTTGCCTTTAGGTGTCAACTGGAGATAGATTTAATAACCCCTGACAACTGAGATTTCTGGTTGGTTTAGGCTGTAGTGTCAGTCCCATATATAACTTTCTTCATTGGTTGCTGATATCAAAAAGGTATGGCATTTTCAACTTACTTTTGATCTTGGTCCAGAGGATGGGCTTGGGAAGTGTGTTTGGGAAACTCAAGCAATTTCTCCATCCAATACCATCCAAAAGTGTTGGTAGTTCGGAAAGTGTCTCTGATAACTTCGCATTCTATGAACCGGCTTTTTTTTACAATCTAGAGTGCGGTAGTGATGAGTCCTATATTGATGTTGAGTATATAGCTATTCAAAAGTTTGTACGTTTTTATGGTGTGGATTTCGACATGCCTTGCATTGATTTTCTCGTTCGGTTGTGTTCTTTTCTTGGCTTGAGAGCTGGGGATCACGCCATTTTATTCCCATGTGCAAGTCTATCTGGAGCCCCACGCATTTGCTGGCGTTGTGTTCCTCCAAGCAGCAAGGTTGGTTCATGGATCAATTCAGATACAGCTGGGATAAAGTTCCCACGTATGGTTCGACTTATTGCAAAATGTTGTCTCAAAAGATCAGCTAAGCTTTACCAATATCCATTTCTTGACGCGGAGTTCAAGAATCCTGTTCTCCCTTTAAAAACTGGAAAGGAATTTTTGGATGATGTAAGTCGTGCATGATAATAAGAATCTTTGTTTGACAGTATATATTAGCAACTGGATGTTAAATGTGTGATACAGGTCAAATCAGGATTATGTCATATAGTGTTTGTAAACAAAACCAATGCTTTACACATGATTGTGCACGCATTTTACTGGATGTAGACATTGATTGTATGATTGTTTACTCTTTCCCAACCGACAGCTGCTACCTTGATGTGGTGATCGGACTTGCATATTACAACGACCCGATGAACTACACTAGCTGCAGCCCTTTTTCCTTGAGGTCCTACCAAGCCAGAAAGGTCTGTTGAATGGTGGTAAGACGAAAAGCAGTCACTGTTACAGTGTAAATTGTTTCGCTGTGATGGGGGTCCGAGAGTGAAGTGGTGCTGCTAGCTAGACGAGTCTGTAACAGCAACAAGGTGTTTCCCTTGGATGACCAGCAGTACCGTGTTGATGCTGACTTCCCTATGGGAAGGAGAAGAGCGGTTAGAAAGGTTTGGATTCAAAAATAAAACACTCTCTCCTACCCTATGACCTTCTGGTCGGTGGTATGGGTTTTTCCTATCCGGTGTTTAAACTGCGAAATCTCAAACCAACAATCCGGAAAAAGGCTGTGTAGCAGGTCTCAAACAGATGCCTTGTGAACTGTGGTCACAAACCTTTTTCTCTTTCAAGTGCCTTAAGAAGAAGTAGTCTTCTTTGGTGTGGGCAACCGGGAAGTGTTAACCACCTGCACGCTTCCAGCAGTATATGAAAACCAGACATAGCCTGTCCTTATTTCTATCTACTGCTTTGCCTTCACCTCCTGAGACCAATATTAAGCCTCTTACTATTTACTCGACCCCTAACTCTGAGAACGTTTCCGAAGATCGAAACCTCATTTCTAGTCTTTTAAGACCGCGCTATCGATTTCATTACGGAGCTTTCAGCGGCCTAAATCTATGCCAAATCAAAAATTGGGTATCGCTAGCAAGAACTCTGAAATCTTTGGCCATGGATGTGCGCTGTTTCTGAGACATATATACATGACCCAAGTGTGGTTATTAAATTTACCTCACGTGACCATAGTCGCTAATCTTCTGGTCACCAGTGCTGCTGGACAACGAAAACACCAAAGCCGTGTTCAGTGAGTTGGCTAGGCAGTTATCGGAACAAAAGACTATCACTCATCCAAAAGAAGATTGGTGCCATCTCCAGTCTGCTGTAAAAGCAGCACTGAAGGCCGTAGCCGATTCCGAAATAGTGGCTAAAAAGAGCAAGTGGATGTCAGCATCTTCCGAACTAATGGATGCACGTGAATGCATCCCTGCAGGCTCTGAGTACAATGAAGAGCGAACGCAACTTAAAAGTAGACTGAGGAAAGGTCTACGCAACGACCGCAAACAGTGGTTCTCAGCGAAGGCTAGAGATGGAAAAGGCATCGGGGATTGGTCACAGTAAAGAGTTATTTAGACTTATTAAGGAAACTGTGGGGAATAGGTCAACTGCGGTTAGTGAGGCTATGTCAGAGAAGGACGGATCGGCAGTTAACTCGCAGGGGAGACGACTGGAACGATGGGTAGAACACTTCGAGGAGCAGTTTAACTGGCCCCCAACCACCATTGCGTTGCCTGCTATCCAGTCGGATCCTGAATGGAACATTGAGATAGGCCACCCCAACACTAGGAGAAGTCGGAAAAGCAGTGGGTAACCTGAAATGAGGAAGGGCAGCAGGACCAGACGGACTACCTGCTGAGGTATACAAGAATGGTGATAGATTGCTCTTAGTCAGGTCAACGGAAGTGTTAACCAGTATATGGGAATGAAATACGATCCCCACTGGCTTGTCTGAATCACTGATTATTCCAGTCTTCAAGAAAGGTGAGGAATCCTCTTGTGATAACCTTAGAGGAATTGGCCTGACGAAGATGGTGTCCAAGATCCTGGGTTCCATAATTCTTCGACGCTTGAGTGGAGCTCGGAAACAGCAAGCCCGAGAAAACCAGGCAGGCTTTAGACCCGGTCGCTGGTGTGTCGACCAGATATTCAAACTGCGCCAGATTCTGAAACTTCCAACACTAACTGTATTTCTCGACCTGAAGGTGGCATTCGACTTGGTTGATCGAGAAGTCTTATGGCAGTGTCTCTCACTGAAAGGGGTGCCGAGTATGTGCATAAGCTTATTGAAGGCTGTCTACTCGAACACTTGTGGGCATATCAGAGCCTATGGTGAGATGTTCAGGGAGCTATGTTCATCGAGTGGTGTCCTTCAAGGGTGCCCACTCTTTCTCTCTCTCAATTTTATCATAGATATTGTCATGGAGGTCTCCCTCTCGTCACCAGGTTACATAGACGTTGACCTAATCACAGGAGACTTTTCGTTAGACCCAGAATATGCAGATGACGTAGTCATGTTGGGTGAAGACGCTGACAAGATGCAGAGTCTTTTGGACACTTTGAATGGCAATTTGAGAATGTTTGGGGTGCGGTTCTCACCACCCGAATGCAAATTGCTGCTCCATGATTGGTGTTCAACGGTGCCACGGCTAATAATGGAGAGTGTATTGATTGAGTGTGTCGACCACTTCACTTACCTGGAAAGTCTATTAAGAGTCGCGTGTACTGCACAGCAGTCCGGTCTGTTCTACTCTATGGCTGTGAAACATGGCTATTGAAGGTGGAAGACATGAGAAGGCTTCGAGGGTTTGACCACCGTTGCCTTCGTAGTATAGGCCGTATTCCGTGGTGTCACCACGTGAGTAACACAGAAGTCAGGTGTAGGGTTTTAGGAAGAAGATGTAAATCAGTTGACGAGGTTATGAATCTTCACCGACTGAGATGGTCGGGACACGTATTACATATGTCTAGTTGCCGTCTGCCTCATCACACAACGTTGGGCGAAGTAGGTGAAGGCTGGAAAAAGGCCCGATGTGGCTAGACTAAAACATGGCACCAATGTATGAAGTCTCTGACTGTTGGTTTGAGCCATGTGGGGTGATGCAGACTAGGTGGTTGGGGTCGGTGGTATAAGCGGAACCAGTGGTTGGAGACTGTAGGTGATATGACTGATAACCGATGTCATTGGCGCAGATGTATACATACATTATCCTCATCTTAACGACGCTATACTGAATCTCACCACTTTGTCATTCTTCATTTTTCTCTTTTCGTACTTTATATTTCTTTTGACTGGATTTTCTTTTCTTCATCTTGTACTTCACTGCCTTTACTTGATGTACTGATATGAGTTGTGGCAACTCGGACCGTTAGGCAGTAATGCCTGGTCCTATATTGATATTGGTGATGATGGGTAGCTAATTTTCAAAATTCACCTTAAGAGTATCTGGAGACCCAATAGCTAGCTGTCATGAACTTTCTGGTGTAGGCATGGTTTTGATGTATAGAGCAGAAAGTGGGCTCCTCTATTGGATTCCAGTAAGCAACCTTTAATATGCTGTTCGACTGAATGGATATGTAAGGACTAGGAAGGATTGTGAGACTAGGCGATATCTGTTCGTAATCCCCGGTTAAGCACCCACCGACTGTATTTTGGACATGTCGAATGAATTCTGTAAAAAGTTTTCAATATCGCTACGTAGAATAAACCGCTTAGATGTAAACATTATGCGAAGTGACTTTAGCTCTCAAGTGGGAAATCTGAGCCAGCCACAAAGGCATCCTGGTGGCAATTACGGAATTCCATGCCAACGAACTGACAGTCACTTGTTTCTGGCCAGTACTAATTTCAAGTATACGTGGAGACACTGTCCCACATAGCGTCCTCCGACATCAACCCAACAATGGAGATAGATAGACCATACTACTATGGGTCATCGTTGACGAGAATTGGTGGAGGGTTTTCACTCTTTTTGGAGTACTTCTGTGAATTTCGATCGCTTTAATACGGACACATGTATGTCTGTCCTTTACTTGTCACAGGAGACAGGCGGCAGTTACGGCCGTGCTTGCTCTATTTGAAGGTTAGGACACGAAGTACTTATTTAGGAGAGGATATAGCCTGGTTAACTAGTTCACTAGTTACTAGCCGGTCCTAAGCCCGGGTAAAGAGGGAAGGTTGGACATACGGCCAGCAATCCTACCCCGTAAAACAAATCTAACCGCTAAAGAAAATTCAAAGCACAAACGAAATATAAAAAATAATAACAAAATTATTCCTCGCTGGAATCGGAGAGGCGAAATGATGCCGGTTGGTGAAAGCCTTCGGGAAGCCAATTGGCCGATGTGTCTTCTCACTCTCGATGAAAGCGAAAGTAGACGTGGGGACACGGAATGTCCGCACGATGTTTGAACTCAGCAAGGCAGCCCAGATTGCAAAGGAGATGAAGAGGTATCACATTGAAGTGCTTGGAATTTGCGAAAGCAGATGGAATGTAAGTGGACTCTCCAAACTGTCAACTGGAGACGAGTCAATAATCTACTCCGACATTGTCACCCAGACGACAACCACGAGCACACTGAGTTTTGGAGTGGCTACCATGATGTCCCCAACAGCAACGAAGGCTCTCATGCAATGGGAACCAATCTCCACCACGATTAGGATGATGACAGCAAGGTTCAACTCAAAAGGAAGGAAGGTCACAATCATACAATGCTACACTATGCACCTACAAACAATGCAGATGAAGAGAAGAAGGAGGAATTCTACAGACAACTGCAATCAACACTGAACAGGTCCCCACTCTAGTTGGCGACATCAAATTCATTCTAATAAGTGAGGTGACATGAATGCCAAAGTGGGAGCGGACAACACAGGAAAAGAACTAACCATGGGTCGAGAAGCGCTCGGTGAGGTGATGAACGAGAATGGAGAATTGTTTACAGAATTCTGTACATTCAACGATTTGGTGATTGGAGGCACTGTGTTCAAGCACAAGGATATCCACAAAGCGACATGCATTTCACCAGATGGACACACTAAAAATCAGATCGATCTTATCTGAATCTCAAGAAAATGGAGACGCAGTCTACTTGACACAAGGTCTAGAAGAGGAGCAGATGTAGGTTCAGACCACTACCTAGTGCAAGGAACCTTCCAAATCAAGTTAAAAGCCTTCAAGGAAGCTGGTGATAGACCTCAGTTCAAGTACAACACTCGGAAACTGAAGGATGAAACTACAAAGGAGATCTTCACGTCAGCCATCAAGACAAAATGGGAGATATCGAGGAACATCCCTGAAGAAATCTGTGTGGAAGAACACTGGAAGTCTTTGAAAGTGATGTGGAAAGAAATCTGCACAGCTGTATTAGGCTGGAAGAAGAAAGAAGATAAGGGAATGGATCTCAATGGATACATGTAAGCTGATAGAGGAGAGGAGGATGGTGAAGCAGAAGATGAACCAGTGCAAGAATGCATAACGACAAGAGGAACTGAGTACAATGTATAAAACACTGGACAAAGAAGTGAAGAAGAGTGCACGCAAAGACGAAAGACACTTCTACGAAACACTGGCAAGTGAAGCAGAACAGGTTGCAGGTAGGAGAGACTTGACAGCACTATATCAAATAACCAGGTTACTATCTGGGAAGAGTTCAACACAGATGAAACCAGTAAAAGATGATGACGGAAACTTCATTACCAAAGAGAAACAAAGGAAACGATGGGCCGACGACTTCAAGAAGCTCTTGAATCGACCACCACCACCTGAACTTCGTCCAGAAATACCACCTGCAGCCTCTGAATTACAAGTGAACATGAATCCTCCAACAAAAATGGAGGTCCTGAACGCCATAAAGCTACCGAAATGCGGGAAAGCAGCAGGACCAGATGGGAGCCCGCCTGAAGCACTGAGAACAGACGCAGAGACAACAGCGGACATGCTCACACCACTATTGGAGAAGGTGTGGAAGGAAGAGAAGACACCTGCCAGTTGATAGGAAGAAGGGTTACCTTGTCAAACTCCCGAAGAAGGGAGACCTCAGTGTTTGCAAGAACTGGCGCGGAATCACTCTCCTGTCCACCCACAGCAAGCAAAATATTAAGCCGCATCATCCTGGAGAGGCTAAAGGATGTGCTGGATTCAAAACTATGACGGGAACAGGCAGGCTGGATTCAGTAAGTACAAATCATGTGCGGACCAAATTGCAACGCTTCGCTACGCATCATCATAGAACAGAGTAGAGAATGGCAGTCAACTCAACTCTCTACCTCAACTTTATCGACTTTGAGAAGGCCTTTGACAGCGTTGATAGAGAGGTAATTTGGAAACTGCTTCAATACTACGGAATACCGCAAACCTTTATCCGCCTCATTCAACAACTATATGAAGATGCCACATGCCAGCCAAGTAATTCACAATGGGAAGCTCAGTGATGCTTTTGAAGTGAAGACAGACAGGAGTGAAACAAGGTTGCCTACTATCCCCCATGATATTCCTGATTGTGGTCGACTGGATCATGCAGCAAACAGTGGGGAGCTGTGAGAAGAGGGGGATACAGTGGCTGGACTGCGGAAAAGAACCTAGAAGATCTGGATTTCGCCGATGACTTGTGTCTGATGTCACACAAACTTGAAGACCTACAGGGGAAAACTAACAAGTTGTCAGAAGAGGCAGCGAAGACGGGACTTCAGGTGAATATAGAGAAGACAGAAGTGATGAAGATACCGCACCACCAACAACAACAACAAACTCCAGTCACCATCAACGGGAGAAACTTAAAGGAAGTAACCTCCTTCACCCATCTAGGAAGCACTGTTTCAACTACAGGCGGGACAGACGAGGATGTCAGAGTCAGAATCGGAAAAGCAAGACAGGCGTTCATTAGCCTGAAACCAGTGTGGAGATCTCCTGCACTCAGCATGTGGAACAAGATCCGGATTTTCAACACTAATGTCAGTCCGGCGAGTCAGTGCTTCTGCGTGATTGTTGAGAGACTTGGCGCATTACGAAAGAGATTTCCAATAAACTACAGACATTCATCAACAACTGCCTATGCTGAAGATCAGATGGCCAGAAAGAATCAGCAACAAGGAACTGTGGCTGGTAACAAACCAACCAAGAACCTATCGCTCAACAAATGTGCAGAAGAAAGTGGAGATGGATTGGGCATGCACTGAGAAGACCGACTGGGAGCATCACGCGTCAGGCCGTCGAGTGGAATCCCCATGGGAAGCAATGAGCTGGGCGTCCGAGGCGAGGGTGACATGGAGGAGATCGTGCGAGGAGGAAATGAGAGCTTCTGGGCTGTCGTGGAGCCAGGTTCAAAAGATTTCGGAGAACAGAGTTCACTGGAGACGTGCTACTGAGGCCCTATGTTCCATTAGGAACCCAAGGGACTAATAATAATAATAATAATAATAATAATAATAATAATAATAATAATAATAATAATAATAATGATAATAATAATAGCTAAGCATTTATCTGAGCGTGACAGTGATCTTCCTCTTAAGGAAACCTGATATGACATTCAGTCTACTGTCGGCACAGCGGGGGCAGTTGGTAACCTAACCAATCTAACCTAAGCAAAGGTTAGCAAACACCAATGGATTTTCGCAACTTCATCCGAAATGATTGATGCAGAAAGCCTCATCCCAGCCGACTTTGACCACAATGAGAATCGAAAGTAACTGAAGTGCTAATTGACTGAGAGTCCTTTCGATAGTTGTAAGCACTGGTAGGCGGCGAGAGCGAAAAACATGGAGAAGGCATCAGGACTAGGTAACACCCTTCAACTGTTCAGCGTTATTGACGGAACCCGCAAGGAAAAGACAATAGTTAGTGAGATTACCATTGAAAAGGGACGCTAGTGACCTCTCAGGACAGACGGCTAGAACGTCAGGCAGAATACTTTAAAGCCCAGTCCAGCTGGCCTACACCAATGCTTCAGTTGCCCAACATCCAACCCGAACTTGATTGGGACGTAGATGTAGATCCTGCTAATCTCCTAGAAGTTGAGAAGATTGTTTCTAATGTGAAGTGGTGAAAAGCAGCTGGAGCTGATGGTTTGTTGCCTGAAGTGTTTAAGGAAGGAGTCAAGGACTTACCGAGTAAAGTAAGTGTGGTACTAGGTAGTGTACGGAAATCAGGAGCAGTGCCATCAGACCAGTGTGCTTCTCTGATCATCCCAGACTACAAGAAGGAGGAGAAATCTTGTGACAACCATAGGGGAATTAGTTTGACTAAATACGGTTTCCAAGATTCTTGGGTTCATAGTTTTCCGATGCCTAACCAGTTTGAGAACAACAAATTTGATAAAACCAGAGAAGTTTAAGACCTAGATGAGAGGTGGATCTATCAGATTTTTACCATCCTACACGTTCTGGAACACAGGCATACTTTCCGCTAACCTTTATTACCAAACTTTCTTCTCTCGTACACCTTCGTCTACTTTAATGCCTTTCCTGTCGGCTTGTTCTCTGTTTACAGCGGCTCCACTTTTTCGTAGACATTTATTTAATTATCCATGAACCCCAGTGTCTGAGTCTTCCTTCGTACTTATTCAAATGAGCCTTATTGTTTGAAGCGATTCCTAGGATTTTTGCCCGTTTTTCACTCAAATTGCTTTGTCTTGAGTCTGACGAAAGCATTGTTGTGTAAAATAATAGACTTTTGGTACTCCTCTTTGCACCACTCAGTATATCGGTTTTTGTTAATTCTTTTAAAATAGCTCGGTCAGCGGATTATCGTACATTTACCAGGAGACCGTAAGATTGTTGTTCGTGGGCAGCTGAATGAACCTATTATGAAAGTTTTTCAGGAGGTAAGCACATATTGGTTAGGGTTTGCAGTGTTAGTTGTAAATAGGATGCAGTATCTTCATTGAATAATAACCTGGCGCATATAGCGAACAGTTGTGATTGGTAAACTTAGAGGAGTTAGTGCTGTGGTGAAAATCTTGTTTCAAATTGTAACGTAAATATACCCGTGAAATAAAAACATTCCATTTAGATATAAACTGCGTTGATTTGTAATTGGTTAACTTTGAATTCCCAGTATTCACAGATAGACAAATACAAAAATTCACACAAATTGAAACCGTCCAATTTACCACATCTTACAACACTAGAGGAAGAGGAAATGATCGAAAATGGAATAGTATTAAAATGAACGAAAATAATATAAGTTGAGCAGAAGAAAAGGCAACTGATGATGAGAGAATATTTGTAACCTTCTAGATGATGAAAAGTGAGTGCATCTGCACCACTGTGGTCGGTTTTGTACCGTGTTGTTGAGTTCTCAGCCATCACCTTCTAATATGTGGCAAATGTTCAAAGTCAGTATGTGAAGTTCCTAGTTAACATGTTTCAACGTTGGTTACAGTTGAGTGGTAACATTCGTTTCGTATCTTTCTTAAAAAACTGAGCACATTATCTTTTACTTATGTTCCCTGTGTTTTCATATTTTCCTTACTGTTTAATTGTACTCTTCGGTGTTGAGAGTTGTGTTTTGTTTTGTAGTTTTCACTTAGCGTATATATTCAGCATCAGTTAAAGTTTGGCGACTTAAATATCCAGTTGAAGAAAAGAATTTACGCTTGTCTGAATGTGTGATATCATGGCCTATAGTCCAAAGCAATCCCATCATTCTTTTTTTTCGTGTATGTTATCCACAGGTGATAAAATTATCATTGAATCTAGGTTTGAAATCTACATAGGACTAAGAAGTGAGATACTCTTACTAGTGCTTTATCAGATTGTTGGATATTATAGTTACTGTGGTGTAAGTCAGATAGTTATTTACCTCCCCTGATTGATAGTTGAGTAGGTTGTGATACTTTATCTTGTGCAAATTTTAAGCGCAATAGGTTTACATCACTAGTTTGATTTTTATGTAAGATATGCTAATTCGGGTAAATTTTCGTTGAAATAGCACTAGACTGATCGTGTCACTGTCAGAACTTGTTGACTATATTGAAATTAGTTTAAGAAAAAGTTTTCAAATTATCGGGGCGTTAAGTTTGGTTCTTATAGCACCTTTCAATCAATGTTTTGTGGCAAAAACTAAGCAAACTTCGTGCCTAGCAGAGAGATTATTTGTTAGATGTTGGTCTCTGGCTAGAATATAGAAATATTTACCGATATTTATTTTAAACTCTTTGACCTGAATCAATCAGCCACTAATTTTGTCATTCCCTATACGACCAGTGTCAGTATTTTAGCGTGGTGAGCTAGCTTGATATTTAGTTTGATTTCCCGGATGGTTCTGAAAATAAACTGTTATTTAAAGACAGGTTAACTCCGTTCAACACAATTCTTTACAATTATCTACCCATAACCCAAACACTAGACATGATTTCATTGTTGGATCTTGTCTGACCAACTGTGACTGACTTATTCCAGCCTGCTGGACGTCGCTCAGGTAAACGGCATGTTGGTCAAAATTACAAACTTGTTCAGAGCTTATTCGTATTACACTAATTAAACTGGAATTCTCTAAGTCATTGAGTTTCTTTATTTTCCGAATTTTATTCAGAAACGTTGTGAATCATATTTGCTGAACAACATCGAGAATTGCATTGTAGAGATTTGAGGCATTTTTGACTAATGGTGACTGGTTAATTTTCTCTTGGGTTCATTTGGACTGGGGATGGGGTGGGGGACTGCATTTTAAAAATTGGTTTAAGTAGTTAAAACATTTGGTTCAAGTTACAGAGTAAGAAGAGCCAGTCCACCTATAGAAATGAGTAGTAACCATATACAGGTTGTGTCTATTATTGTTCGTGTTAAACTGGGTATGATGTTGGCTCATAAAAGAATGTAAGGCCAATAATTCGGACGATCAGAAAATTAACAGTCACTGTGTATACAACCAAGAAGCATTCTTTACTCTTTTGTTTGTATCACTTTTCAGGTAGAAGGCCACAAAATCTCTACTGAATATAATGCCTGGGTATATTTGGTAACTGGAAGCTTTTTGGGTCCTAGTATGCATGCTACACATAGACTTATCGGTGCGCTAGTTAACAGTACGAGCGTTTAACTTGGGTATCTTGGTGGAGCATAGTTCTATACTAAATTACTTGGTGTAACACAGTGATATATAATTTAAGAGCAACAAATTATGCTCCAGACGTGATCCACTAAATAAATAATGTATCACTGCGTCCTATACCAAGTGTATAATCTAGTGCGCTAGTTAACAGTGTGTATATCATCTCTGAACTATGCTTTTCGTTAAAATGCTCTACATTGATTTTTATGGGTTCTGCCACTATTATGTGTTGGCCTTTTCATATTGGATGGCATCTGTTTACATTTGCTCTTTATTTATATCGTTTCTATGACCTAAATATATAAAGGCAGAGCTGTAATCTAGTTTTAGACTACTGTAGATTAGTTAACATAATATTCTACCAAGTTAACGTCCTTTCCCACTATATGCAGCTAGGAAGTGATCTGTTGTTCATTGCTTGACAATCAGTGTTGATGCATTATCAAGTTGCCAATATCATTAAGCACTTCGTCCATAAAATCAAGGCACATCTGTGGATATCCAACAATAACTGACATTTATCCCATAGGACCATTTAGTAAACTACCTACCTTTTCATTTCTTCTAGCCAGTCATTCCTGGCATCTGGAAGTAGTACTTAATGAGGAAGCTACTGAAATGATGTCCGTTGAAAATGTTTGCTTTCCGGAAGCTAATTAGAGCATCACTTGTTGAGTAACAGTTTTCAGTGTTCAGAAATGCTATAGAACCTTAAAATTTCTGAAATAATAGTAGTATTAGATACGAGTTTTCTAATGAAAACCAGACATATAGAGCTATTGAATGTTTTTCTATCGTAGTGACCAGGTTTTACCATAGTGTAGCTGAAGTACTGACACAAGCGGTTTACACGACATTTGGCAACCAAATGAACGTTATATTGGCATCGAAGTTCTCGCAGATCAGTATGTGTCATCCATTTTTGCTGTACCAGAATTGCTTTCATTTGATATGCACTGACTAGCATCTAGACTAACTTTCTGACTTCAGCATCAGTTCATTTATAAGAAGTAGGCTTCTGCTAATCTTGTACCTAACGTGGTGAAAAATACTGACAAACGTCGATCACGAGGTAGTCTGTATGTTGTTTAGTTTAGTAATATCATTGGTTCCCTCAAGATACAAGTGATTATTTCTCATAAATAGGTCTACGCTCTCATCGCTTAGTTCATAGTGTTTTTCACAATGTCTCTGACAGCAAAGATGCATCTTGAAATTAAACAACCCAACTTAAGGTCTCAGTTTTGCCGAATATAACTTAATCTGACCATGTCAAATGGTAGAATCCATCATATACGCTAACTGTGACTTAAAAATAATTTACGACAATATTGTTTTTAAACTTCCTAAAAGGTTGTGCCCTTTGTACTGATTAATTTATGAAATCCCACTGCTTCTATATATCGGATTGTTGTAGTTATTGATGTTAAGTTTTTGTATGATTCGGTTGCAGGAGCGCTATGCGACTCAATGCATAACTTGCTGACAATTGTATGAAAACTGATCGCCTCACACTTAGTTTTGAACCTGTACTCGGTCACTAGAAAGTAATAACATGATAAATCAGAAAGAAACTCAATGCATTTAATCTCACTGCAAAACGATGATGATCAAGGTGAAAAATCATGTGTTTATATGAGTGTTGGCTGGGTGACCTTGTGAATTATCCACTTAGGGAGCGAGTTTATACAACCAGATTCTGAATTTTGCGAAGTCCAAATTCATCGGAACAATGCAGTTTAAAATAATTATATCTGAACACTAAGTTAATTTTTTGGGAAATAGTTTGCTACTAACTTTCTAGACATCTATTGTTGTTTTCATGTAGTTTAAATTATTGATAGCCTACTACTAATATTTCAGGTTTGCTCGGAACGCCATCTTCAACAGAGCGATTATTGCATCGCAAATCCAAAGACAGGGACTATCCTTGATCCACTGGATACATTTACAAACCAGAATGTAGATCAAATTGAACTTAAAGGTCAGTTCCCTTCGTGGTCACTCTGGCATTTTTCAGTTGTTTATTTGCTTCTCATAATTTGCAGCATTGAATATCTCAGCGACAACGTTTCTCACTGCAATCTCTAAAGATCTAGTGTACATACTGAGGTGAAAATAAGTATTTCGCGTATATGTGACATACTATCCTTTCAGGAGTGTAAGCTAGTGGCTTAAAGATTCGAATTAGAGTCATTTAATCATAGGTCAGGTTCTCACTGTGCCTTATTTCGGATAATTCACACAAAGGTTTCAGTCTCGAACCATAGTCTCTACAAATTACGGTATGAAGTCGTTCAGCATCTATGTGGATCTTCGGACCAACATATTTGGGAATACCATACAAGTTTTAGGCCTGGATACATATATTTATTAGGTCTCAACCATTTTTCTAACTTTTGAAAAACAATATATTCACTTAATTTTTGATGGCTATGTATTCGGATCGTTGTGAAGTTCTGAAGTCGTTATTTGACTTCATCAAGTGGGGAACTTCTAAGTGGTGTGTGGGTTTAAACAAGTGTAGCATGCTTCTGAGAGCTCTGCTAAAATTCACATGGCCATTTGCGGTCTTTAGGTGACTTATCATCTGAAGCTTTGGGAACCAGTAGTGTTATAAATATCATGGCCCAAGATTGCAGACTTTTAATTAGTGAAAATCATTCTAGTTTAGGGCATATTTTTTTCAGACACTTCAGGATGCTATTTCATGAGTTCAAATTATTAGCATGGTTTGCAGAACTATAAAAAGTTGAGGTTGTTATGAACTAAACATGGAGAAAATTGAGATGAAACAAAAAAAAATAATGTTGGTAATTATCTGATTGCACTCAGGCGGTGGCATACAGTGGACATCGTTACTTCTCTTTGAGACTTTTGTGAATGAAATTGGATTAGTATCGGAGGGCATAGATATGAGAGTGTGACAGCATATTTTTAAAGATATCTTCATCAGGTCATTTCACCCTGCTTGTTGTGAAAACAAAGGTAGAGGTAGTAAATGATCTCTGACACTTCTTTAGGTGTCAAATAAAAGAGTATATGGAGTGATCGTGAGCGGTAATAGGTGGCATATTTTAAGACATAGTGAAAGCGCCGGCTATAAATATCGGGAATTAGTTGCGTGTTAGTGATTTCGGGACAAACTTCAAATACTTTCTTGATTAAATGTCTTTCATCTTTTCAGTACAGTAACTGGTCACTGTTAAACCAAACTAATATGTTTCTTTGTTGATCTGCGCACGTGAGACTTTCACTCATTATCTATCGATTATCAAATTAAACGTGTTCTAATCGGCTTATTCATTATTGCAAATCTCATCTAGTTCTAGGTTTCTGCTTGCTCACGATGTGCATACAACATAGCATTATGTGGCCAGCTTTTAATGATTTAAATTTAATGAGATATACCACGATAACTGTAGTGCTGTTCATAGAAGTCGTATGTGACTAGTCTCTGCTTGCATGACTCTACTTATATGACCATTCGCTTCCAGCTATTTCAACTTGTACCAATCGCGGTTTACATGAATTTCTTTTTGATATGTTTTCATTTTAGTTTATTTCTATACTGGCTTTTCGTTTAAAAAAAATATTTTTCAGAATGGAGAGATTCCAAATTTGATCAGTATTCGTCAAGGTCATCTGAAAATTATCTAATGAGTAGTTCGAAAGTAGGATATTCGATGTCCACTTTACCAAGATTTAGCTCATCGGATCCCTATTCGGAAAATGATGTAAGATTTAGTTATCCTGTCCATTGAAAATCATTTGTAATCAGTATAAAATTTAAAATAATTCCCTTGACAAACGCTCCCAGACACTTATTTAGTCATAAGACTACTACTGATTATTAACAAGTATTAGTGCAATAACCATATTATTAAGTAGATATTACAAACAACTCCCAGCTGAAGGTGGTTATTTGAAACGCTCAAGTCCTAGGTATTTAGTACTGAAGCTACTTTGGTGGAATGTGGTTTTTAGTTATTTTTACTTAACCATTGGTGCTATGTGCTTCTCGCTACTTACGTGAATTAGAAATAAAGAGTGATTAGTGACCATAAAAAAACAGTATCATTTTGAACATGAGGCTTGATAACTGTAATATTTTCTGTGAATGTCCTCTCGTATAGTCTTTCAATCCATTTTCCCCCTCACTTTCGAGGGGTCAAAGAATATTTGCAGCTACATGCATTTTTTTCCACACTATCATTCATATTTCATATGTGCTATCCCTACCGCTGAACTACACCAATAGTGGTGTATTAATCTTGGTTTGCAACTAAGATTGAATTTATACTGGGTGGTGATTGAAGGTGAGATGAAAATTTGGACCGCGGCTGGATTCGAACTAGGGGCCACCAGATTTCCTGCCCGTTGCTCTACCAACTGAGCTACTAGGTCCAACTGCTGACCAGATTTTAATTTCACTTCAATCATCAAGGGTTTTGCCTGACTACCGGGGTCCGCGGGACAAGAGAAACCAGTGATTGTGGAGACCCTAGATGATATGGTTCAGAACTGATGTCAGTGGTGCAGATGTATACACACATTATCCTCATGTTAACGACTCTATACCGAATCTCACCACTTTGTCATTCTTCATTTTTCTCTTTTCGTACTTTATATTTCTTTTGACTGGATTTTCTTTTCTTCATCTTGTACTTTACTGCCTTTACTTGATGTACTGATATGAGTTGTGGCAACTCGGACTGTTACGCAGTAATGCCTGGTCCTATGTTGATTTGGATGGATGGACGGCCCGACCACCATGTGAATTTGTGATGCGTTACTACCACGTAAACGTATTCACACTGGCTGACTAGTCAGGACTTCTCATCCCAGTCCAAATCTAAGTGAATTAGAGAGGGGGAGCATAAATTTGTTGGATCTTGGTCTTTCAACTCTTTGACTGAATCCCTGGAACAGAAGTTCTTTCGTTTATTTATTTCGACACAGGATAAAAACCAACATCCAAATGAATCTTGTTTATAATAAATGCGACAAATACTTGTAATATTATTTGATTCTAAAATAAACAGTTTTACCGGTTCATCTGTACTGTGGCTATTGAATTGATATGTACTTGTTGCATACGTACACTTCATTTGTATGCTCAAGAGAAGTCCTTAAGACAAATTGTGATTATGAATAGACTGAATATTGAACATAAATTGCTTTTCCTTCTCTTGGAATTGCTTAATATTATCCGATCTTGCTGTTTTAATCCTTGGATGACACTTCAAAGTAGTAATAGTTTAGAGAAACGAAGTATTAGAAAGTGAATGTATTTCTTCCATGAATGAATCACTTTCTTGTAAATCAGTAAATATCACTTGTCATGTTGAGCTGTAGTGCGAATAAAAAATTACGCGGATGTTCAAATGTTTTCAACTGACCAACGGGTGAAGCTAAAAGTTATCCCCAGATGTTATTGTGCTCGCCACAGATTTGTGGGGTTGTTTGTGAAAATACAAACATCTGTGCTCTCTACGAATATTTTACCTATTTCCGTAGTTTCTACAGTGCCGTCTGTTATTGAATCGTATTTCAAACCGTTTATTCATGTTCAAAGTGTTGGCTACACTTCCACTTAAGTACAGTTATTCAGGATGAATGATACTCGCAGATCATAGTGAATCAGTTGAGGCTTCAGATTACATCCAAAAGGATTTATGATTGCAGTTTTCACTTCAGAATATATGAATACACAACACATATAATATATATTTCCAGACAATGCTATAACACTTGGGGGATAACTTTTAGTCTCACTACTGACCGATTTAGTTCTCTCTCTGCATTCCAGGACGAAAAATGCTTGATTTTTAAAATAAACGTTTAATACAATTTAAACGAGCTTGTGAATAATGGTAATTTGGTTGGTTTTGGCTAGCAGAGGAATCTAGGACGCGCGTTCAGTCCTATTTGGGACTCATCAGCTGGATGTACCTGCACCCTAGTGAGTGACGTTGTTCCCATTGAGATTCCAATTCCGAACCCATCGCTTCAAACGCCGAGGCGTTATCCACTATGCTACGGAGGAACGATAGCCAGCTCTTGTACAACGGGTAGTAGTTATTATTATTTATTGATATACTTGTTATTCTCCATTGTTTTATTGTATCGAGTTGTTCAACCTCTATTGGCATGTGGGCTCCTTTGCTGATGCCTCGATATTACCTGAATGTTAATTACGGTAATTTGGTTGGTTGTGGCTAGCAGCGGAGAATTACTGAGAATTACAAGCACATCAATAAATAGTAATAACTTGTGAATACCTTGCAAGTTTCGGTTGTTGACTTTTATGAAGTCGATAGATCATCAAACAGACAAATCAGATTATTACGTTGCATAAGATTGGATTTGTTCCAATTGCCATAGCAGTGCGTTAAGACGTGTAATAGGTGGCTAGAAAGATATTGAAGGAGATAAAAGTGAACTCAATGCTAATAAATTGGTCAAGCCTGGAGGTGAGATGTTCAAAAAGTAACCTCAATTGTTGGAAAACACTAAACACTTATTACCATCATAGGCTACAAATCTTTTCTACTGTCTGAGATAAAAGTGTATCAGACGAAAAGGAGTAAATAAATGAAGGTTCGAAAATGTTCAAAGATGGTAATTAAAAAATGTGTACCCTATCACCACTGATTCTCAACGGCTTCACTGAGACTCTTCAATCATAGATTTTGACATCTCGCGTCATGTTTTGGATCAACCGTCAGAGACCGCATAAACTGTTGTCACTTCTTGATATGACGTTAAGCTTTTTATAGCCGTATTTTCAGTTCCGTCAATATAGTGTGTCGCTGAATGCGGTGACTGGGCATGTGCAACTATAATCGAAAACCTCTAGCCTCTTCATATCTTTTTAAAAGCTAAATACTACTCTCCAGTAATTTGATAATTTAATAATACCTGTTCCATGTACGCACAATTCATAAGAATAAAAGACTACAACTAATTTATTCACCAGTGAAGCATAGCATACTCGTCATTTGATAGGTGATCTACTCTCTCACCAGTCGGTGTAAACCAATTCGGGTTTATCATCTTGCATACTCAAATTTCCAGTCAGTGCCTTCGAAAGGCCGTGCATGTTGTCACCATTCGGGCTCAGTAGGGTTATTTCTTCTGTGCACTTTAACTCAACCAGGTTCTTTCTGAGCAGTAAACCGATATTTGAGAAGTTGAATGTAAATAAAGTCACATCTGTAAGAAAGTTAAATAAAAATTGTAGTAGTAGGCACCCAAGTCTTGATTTGTGTAACAGCCGCTCAGCATTCCATTCACATTCAGAGGCTACCACAACACCTCTAGAGAATTATAACAAATGTTGGACACCAATTGGTTTACTTTTGTTTTAAGACTTGTAGGGAGGGTAAAATGATGATCGGTATGCTGCCATCTAGATCTGATATCTGTATGGTAGTCTTGAGCCTTAGGTCGGCGTCGAATGACTACAAATCCTAGGATCCAATGCTGTAACACTTCACCTTTTCTTCATAAACTTGAATGATCAAGGATTCGAACTAATCTGTTGAAATATCCTTTGATTCGTATGTGGTGGTTGGTACCTCAGTTTATTCTAAGCAGTAATTCCTGACAACCATCCTTTAAAGCTTATTTTAGTAAACTCTGAGGCCTTGTTGCTTTAAATTAGTTGGCATGTAGACAGTATTGTTGTAAAAATATGGATACATGATATTTCCAAAAGATTAAAATATGATGTAGTTTTGTATGTGCAGTAGATTTGAGTGACATGTCTATTTATCAACCTACGTATAGAATTTACATTGCTTTTTTATAGATACAGTCGCTTACGTTATCGTCTGATGTTTCTAATGGATATTCAAAACCGAGTGTTCACGTTTCTGGGAGGGGTATGAACAATGTGAAACGTAAATGCAAAAAGCATACAGCCCCAAGTATACCCCCCAGACAGCTGACACTCGACCAACATATATCTCCTTTTACTCTTGAACTCGAAAAAAGACGTTCGATTAGTTGCACAACACTTCCATCTACTCTTCCAAAAAAGAAAGATTTTTCTGAAGCCTTAAATAATACGCGCTATACAGTTCAGGGTAAGTTTTAATGTTGTACATGATTTCTTCTTGAAGGTGGACTTTTTAGTGGAAATTTGTTTACTACTTTGAATCCTCTTTTTTTTAAGAGAGAAAATTTAGTCTCAGTCGAGCAATGATTTAGGTTATGCTCTGTTTCATATTCGACTGGTAGTTAATCCTTTAATTGTTTGGTTAAAGCCAGTTGTGTGGAGACCCTTTTGAAAGAATACTTTTGTCTGTATGATAAGTAGTTTAGTGTGATAAAATTGTTTGGTCTTATCCTTGATTGAAAGCTTCTTAGCTTCTTAAAATTTGTTATGTTATTCAGAAAACACCTTGACTAGCTGCACTAAATTCATCATTACCATAAAGGAATTGAATATTAGTCTCTTAATAGCTATTTCCGAGTAACTTTTTTGGCACTGTCCTGCGCTTCCTACGAGAACTTTAGGAGGCTCGTTTTGCGTGTCTCTAAAGGCCACCTTAACAACAATTAAAATGACTAATTAGACTTCTCTGTCTTTGGGAAATCTACCTTTCTAACCGAAATAAAGAAGCGTAATTGTTTATTTAAGTTGTTGCTAGGGTGACTTTTAAAATCACTCCTTTTTTCTCGTTGTGATGTCATCTGTATACCTTAGTTTTTAATTATGCCAAGAGGAATGCCATATTTAATGTCGGTGAATATTTTGACGTTGTGTAATTAATTTTTGATAACATTTTAATGCTTTCCAGGAGTGGCTTTAAGGGCCACTCTGGCAACAACTGAAAGAACCAATTAGGTTAATTTATTTGTGGAAAAGTTACTACTCCAACCGAAATAACAAAACCCAATTGGTTATTTCAGTGGTTGTCAGGATGACAATTATTGATGTTAGTGAACTGGTTATGGTAAATTTCGAATAAGTTAAGCATGGTTTTCACCATTAAATGACATGAGTTGGATCACTGCTAAAAACCAACTAATGTAAAATATATTTTGCATTCGTATATTTTCTTTGCTTCCAAAAGTGTTAAAAGTGCTCGATTTTTAAGTAAGATGAAATGCACACCTAGTATTCATAGGTTTCTGGTGGTTTTTATTTGTCAGTGGTTGGGAAAAATCGCCTTCATGTTTGGATGTACCTGTATAAGGGAAAAACTCTATGTCAGTAAAACATTCTCATTAGTTTGTACTTATTGCTTCTGTTCTATCATTCATTAGATTTCAAGTCCGATGGAAGTGCAATGTATAAGCCTAACACTCAAGAAATAGTTGGCAAAAGTTTAACTGATATTCCAACCTATCGGTCGTCTGCCCAAAGGCTTAAAGCCACCATTGTTTTAAAGCCCAATTCAAAGAAGGTTAGTATGTTATTATTTCTCAACTCGTAAATTACCACTTTGACAAAAGTCATTTGTTATTGGAAAGAAATTACTACTTAAATGTATGAATGCATTTACCTCGCAGACAGTCAGTCACTGTCAACATGAAATGAAAATTCGAAATTCATTCAACAGCTACATGCTGCATGTTTTTGCGATAGGGTTAATGCTGCTACTTGGCTACCAGAATGACAGTAGGCCTAATGGGGTTCAAACCGATGACCCCTTGGCTGGAACTCAAATCCCCTGACCAGTGAGCAATGGCTTCACTCATATCGTGATATCTAACATTACTGTGCAATTTTCCAAGTTACTACTCCCCTCATCAATCTATAGAGTTAAAAGGCATTCATATGAGAGGTGGAACTCCCTTGCTGCTCGAAGCTTGGTAGGTGGAACGGGACTCGAACCCATGGCCCAGTGATTGACACATCATCTCTGTAAACCACCGAGTCATTAGTACCTCATTTCATCACACATCCTAGCAAAGCACTAGAAGAAAATTTTGAAGAACCGATGGAATAATAATGCATCTAACATTCTAGGTAGGTTAGTGGGTACGATCATCTCCAGTAATATCCATCTGATACTGCTTTTCATGGATAGCGCATAAAGTAAGCAACTGAATTCTTTCGTGTCTTGATTTCGTCTGATTATTCCACAAATGCAGTTTGCTGAGACAGTGATATTTTGATGTATATAATGTGTCCTAGATATTGTAATGGACACTTACAATCAAAGCAAATAGGAATCACACGTAATCAGCGACACTTAAATCAATACTCTTCTCACAGCAGTTACATATTCAGAACACACCAGTTATCACCAAACCCATAAAGTTATCCTTGACTTGGAAGTTGGATTTAGCTATGATGGCGATCATTTTGAGATGTACTATGAGAAAGGCCTGTTACCTGAAAGTTTGTTTGCACACTCAGATAAGTTGAAGAGTAGTAAAACCGAGAGCGTTTGATATCGCAATGTAAATCTATCATGAGGTGATTCCAAGTACAAAGACGAACGTCAGTGAGGTGTAATCCAGTTATTAGTCTTTCTTACTGTCAGATTGTTCAGAATTTAGAAATGAAACACCAAAAAGACTAATTTATCTAAAACAAGTTAATTAGGGTCTGCAGTTTAATAAGGTCATCATTTTCTGTAACCTTTAGCTATGGCCCATTGGTTTAAACGCTAGAGTTTCAACCAATGAATCTTGGGTTTTAAAATTTCGCTCCATCCACCTTAGTTTGAACAACCAGGTAGTATCATAAACCCTGACGCACTCGATGTGTCTCACATTGCAGTACGAGAACTTGTACCGGTCAAATAAGTTATTTATATAAAAACCCAAAAATTCAAAATTAATCTTCCATGATGTCGAATAGAAAATTGAAATACTCAGCAACGGTGTGCACACTTGTGCAGCAGGCAGTGAATGACACCTGTTTTGAGTGGGCTTATGATGCTACCTGGCTGCCCAAACCTCGGTAGGTGGAGCTAGCTGGGTTTCGAAACCGTGACCCTACTGGTTGAAGGCAATCTCCCCAGACCAATGAGCGACAGCTCCACTTCCATGATATGGACAACCAATCTTTCAGCTGTACATCTAGCTTTTCTAGAATGTTACTCGTTTATTAGCGATGTATTTGCCCACTCCTTCAATTGTTGCTAATATCATTTTTATACACTTTAATCTTGCTCATATCTGAAGCCGGTATAAGTGGCTTGAGATTGCAATATAAAAACATCCTTTATGTCCTTATGTTAAATGTTAAGTCATTTTAATATCCACACTCTGCGGAAAATGAGACAATAAGCTGCACTAATTAACAGTCTATAATCCGTGCTATGCCAGTTTACTGTGTTTCCTTGACATATTTACAAAATCTGTTTGATATTGCATTTGATTTCAACCTGTCATTGTATTGAACCTGTAATATCTACACTTCAAGTGTCTTGGAGATTAGGAGTCAGTCCTGGGTGATTTGTAGATGTAGATACCATTTTACGTGGTAGAGTAGAAAGTTAACTTTTTCACAGGATCTTGTTGAACGCATGCTAAATCTGTGCTTAATAACTTTCAGTGAAATAACATAATCATTGTTTAACTACCGTAAACTGTCTTTTACATCTATCCATATACTAAAACTGACTATTTGTTGATTATTTTATAACGCCAAAATAATAGGAGAATAACTTTAACACTGTATTATTGCCAACTCATTAAGTCATTGCATCATGCAGATTAGTGACTATAGTGTTTAGTAGTGTTTATCATAAAATGATAACATTTTTGTAAAGTTATTTTGTTGGTAAACAATCACAAATATATTAGTTATCTAGTCAACATTTTTTAACTTCTTTTATACATCATATAAATATAAAATTATAGTTTTACCTATAACTTTTAAAATTCTAACTAGTATGCATTATTACCGTATGAAAGTTTTCTTTTCTATGGTATTTTTTGGGTTCGGCGTATATCTACCTTTTTTTGATAATGAGTGAAATATCAGTTAATGAATGTGGCCTGATTTGCTTGTTGTTCGTTGACCTTGACTTTCAACGTTGACTAATTAATTTCTGTAATGCTTTGGTGGATAGCAAAAATAGTCTGACTTATTTACTCTCTCGATAAGGTTCAGCGGCATTCTGTTTTAGATAACCACAGTATCTATAAATTCATATGATTTCCATTTACACTGCTAACATCTTAACTTATCTGCTTAGTTGTTGATTTTCTAGTTGTTTTTTTCAAGTTGTAGAGTTAATTGACATTCCACACGATATTATCATTGTCAGCGTATGAAGGAAGTAAGCTGTTTAGAAGTTTTTTTAAAGTGACAAGCAGTCTGTATGCGTAACCTTTGTTCTCATATTGTATACTGATACTATTATCGATTAATATTATTTGAATAATTTTGTTCTACTTTAAAAAGCAATCTGAAGCATCTAACTCTTCCTGCCCTCCACCGCCGCCACCCCCTCCGTTACCTGCAAACTTTTTCAAAGGCAACAGTTGTAACAGTACTAATTTATGTACTGAGAATTGTCGTAAATCTGAATCTGATCTGTTAAAAGCACGCAGCTCTGTTCTGGAAGTTGATGAGAAGCAAGGTAAAAACAATATTTTTATTCGTGGTTTCTTGTAAGTATATCGCCAGCTCTGTTCCTCTTGTTGCCTTAGACACAGTCTGACGTATCCAAGAATTCTTGTTAGTAATTTTATGCCTTCTGACACATAGCTTTTATAACACCTGATGTGTGAACTTAATTTTATTGATCGTGCATCCATCATGGGTAAACCTAACACTCAGGCTAACTGAAAAACCAACTCCTTTGTGTACTATGCAACTTACCACCAAAGTCGGGCCATCATATCCGTATTATCGATGTTCATATACGCCAGAGGACATCTTTTTTGATTTTTGTGGTAGTTTTTTTGGTAATTCCAACTGTTTTCTGTTTTGTAGAATAAGTAACTTTCTGATGCACAAATATGCGATATAGCTGTAGTTCACTAGTGTAGGCTCTTGACTTTCAACCAGTGAGTCATGGGATTGAACCCCATTTCTCCTACCGAGGTTTAGATGGTCAGGTATTATAGTTAGGCTTCGAGAAATACTTGTACCTTATCGCCTACTGCATGGACGTCTATGTGACTGCTGAGTTGGATTTCGATTTTGATGTAGGTATTTGTTAGCTTTCTTACTTTTTTCTGCCTACTCTCCACTCAGTCATCATCGTAAATCATGGTTGTGGTGTCTGGGTGTGTGTAATACGGTCAGTGGAGGTATACAACCCAAATAAGTTGTTTTGATAAGTGTTCGTTTCTAGACTCAGTATTGTGAAGTTGGTAGCTATATCGTACTCACTTTTTCAAAGCATACTATGATCAAGGATTTTACATTCCGTATAACTTCAGTGACGGCATTTTACTACTCTAATCTGCTGCAGATTGTGCTCGTCCATAGTTAGTCCTTTTGATCGTTCAATGACGCCGTGTTTGATTTGCTGACAAATGTCAATTAAACCGGAATTTCGTTGCTCACTAGTCTATCTTTGCTGTATCATCTCCGTAAATAAATACAGTGGTAACCTTACTGGTTGTAGTGAGTTGTGGTTTATAGAAATAATCTTTGACTCGGACACCAACGCCACTACAATATATCTAAGATTAATAGTAGTACTTATTAAGTATTCGAAGTGTTCAGCTGTAAGTACATCGACTCTACTAATGATCTCTTTAATGCAGACATTCAATTTAATCTTTGAGAGATCATAGTTACGAATACAGTTTCAGTGGAATATTTATTCAATCTATATGAAAGCTGTTAGGTGTGATTACTGTTTATAAAGTAAACGTTTATCATAATAATAAATTAAAATATATGCAATAAACACGTCGCCACCAACTTCAATATATAAAACATTCCAGTGAAATCAGAAAGATTTCACCAAGTGAGATTGTATTTGTGATAATTCTCAGCTTCTCATTAAACTATTTGATTGTAGTAATGCAATCACAATGATCGATTCGACGATTTAATGTTGAGATATAAAAGATTGTATTTCAGAGACATTTAAACTAAACTATAACTTTAGTCTTAAAAGTATAGCAGCAGTTATCATAATATTAATAAGTAAGCTGGTTAGTGATTATAGATTATCTACTTGATTCAATTGATTTTGTATATAATTTCAGCTTGTGATGTAATTTAATTAATCTCTTATTTTAGGTTATATGTCATATACATTTCTTTCACTTGTATATTCGATATAACAATCTTCTTTTCTTTTACTGGATTTTATTTATGTAAATGTGGTATACATAATAAATTTTAATCAGAAGCTGGATAAATTATCAATAATATTGTGTGTTGCTTTGTAGAGTTCTTTTCAACTCAGTTTGTTGATTTCGACTTTACCTGATAATTTATTTTCGATAAATTGGTAGCCTTTGTTAGTTACAGGAGCTTCTCGATGTTTTTCTCTTCTCTAAATTAGGCTTTTGTCTTATTTAATTAATAAGTAAGGTGATTGTTTAAACGCATTACTCAATTACTGTTGAGTGATGTAGGTACTAGCTACTATGATTTTGTCACAAGATAACTACACTTTGAACAGTCTCTTATATTGTTTCAAGTTGTTATTCATCGAAGACTGACATCAGTTGGAGGAACAAAGGAAACCTGGGAGCACTAGACAGCTGTTTCGTCCTAGTATGGGACTCCTCAGCAGTGCGCACCCACGACCCCACCAGCAGGGATCGAACCCGTGACCTTCAGGTTCCACGACCAGCGCGTTACCATTGAGCCACTGGGTCAGGATCCAATGCTCCATATTTCCAACTTCTGTTAGCTCACGATATAGCGCAAACCGCCACCCAATGTCATCGTTGAGTATTTGTCCTCACGGCCATCAGGCTTGACTCCACCGGTCACGACTTGTCATTGGAACTTCGGGAATACTTCTCGAATACTTCTCCAGTGCTCCCAGGTTTCCTTTGTTCCTCCAACTGATGTCAGTCTTCGATGAATAACATCTTATATTGTTGTTAGCTCTCTCATGTATGGTATTACTAACAACCTAGCTAGAAATCTCTAACCTGATTCTTCTATGCTGTTTGATTTGTAGTAGTTGATAATTTTTACCTAGTGTTATATAGGAAGTTAATTTAACACAGTTGAAGGTTAGATATTCTCTGGTCAAAAAATATTCCTATTGTTCAGAGAAGTATTCTACGGTTCTTTTGTACTTCCTAGTTGACTCTTCGGATTACAGAAAGATAAGAGAATGAATTTCTAGTTCAGTCGCAAGTACTTTGTGGTCTACATTACAAAAATTGTATAATCCACTCCAACTGGCATTCAGTTTTAATAGAAGTGCAAACAAAAGATGTCCCAATAAAAAGGATTTGTTGAGGAAACTACCGTTAGTGTTACCATACTAATTAGAACTGCATCGTGATAATATCTTCTGTTTTACTATTCAATGTTGTTTAGGTTTCTTAATTGGGAAAAAGCTATTCATGCTGATATATTCAAATTGTCAAACTATCCAACTTAGAACACTGTCTATTTCTACTGACTGCTGATGAGATCGGTTATCTAAATTTGTGAATATTAGTGTGGACTGGCTGTCAATCGTATTATGCTAGGAATTTCTGTTTTAATCGCCAATAGTATAAACTGATATAGACTATTTAAAATCCTTTTTTGAGAGTAAGGCAGTACATGAAATTGTTTCTTATTACATATATATAAATCTCACCAAATTTCAAGACATTTTCTAAAAATTCCTGTCTTTTACTTCTCTTTTGTAGACAGCAATAGAAGTACATCTCAGATATCTAAATTGAGTAATCCATCTTCATCATCATTATCTTCATGTCATACTCTTCCATCTTCGTATGGTTTAACTGGTGTGAATACATTTAAAGGAAATCCTGTATCTCTAAACGTTAAAACACTGAACATTAACCAGAAACAAATGTCACCAGCACCATCGCTATCATCATTCACAAAGCCAGAGTCTCTTGGTTATTCTGATAAGTCTCCAGCTCCCAATATGGATTTAGTCACTGAATTAACGAATGCTTTTAAACGATTACAAAGAAGTGATAATACAGATGAAATAGGAACTCAGAAAAGAATTGTCAAAGACGGTAAAATGTTTATGTTAATAAACGTATACCATCAATATTTCGTAAATTGTTAAAATCAATTTTTGTATGAATTCTGAAGTAATTAGAGATATCCTGTGAAGGCTAACAACACCTTACTACCTTTTTACGTAATTATCACTAAAGAACATATCATGGAATTAGTTCATAATACATTTTGAAAGTATCTAATATGTCAACCTTTTACTTAGCACCCAATATTTGTCAAATCTTGATCATAGTTCTTTTAAAATATCTATAACTTTAGTATTATTGATTGTATTATACCGTGGTTGATTGGATCAAATTGATCGGTCTCTATTGGTATTATGGGCTCCTATGCGGTCGCCTCGAGACTACCTGTATTTTAATCGGTCCCTAGTTCGAATCCCGGTGGGAACAACATAACTCACTTGGAGGCAGATACATCCGGCTGACGAGTCCTAAAGAGGACGAAATGCCCATCCTGGGTTCCGCTGCTAGCTACTATCCATCATTACTATCTATAAATTTGTTTTGATTTTGAGACAGTATATGTATATGCAATCCTCTTAGACTGTTTGGCTAGTGAAATCAATGCATTTGACGATGGTGGTATTCAGATATTATAATTAATGAATGGTCTACATATTTTTTGCTTGTGATTTTTGTTTCCAGCCGCCAGTAATCGATATCCACAGCTAATGTTGCTTTACACATACATCGTGTGTTTGTGGAATGTTTTCATTTTTCTGTCTATCATTGAGATACTCTTTCTCACTAATAGTTTGTAGAGTACTGGCTGTTGTTTCCAAACTTTTTGTTGTAATTTTATTTAGAGTGTAATATTTTTTCATTAGGACTGTACTATTTAAAGGTGACGGTCTAGATATTTTGAACATGAGTTCGAACCTTTTTTACTATCTAAATATGGGGTATCAAGCGACTTTAGACATTTACTTACGGCTACTTATTACTTTACTGTCAATCGTAGTAATGTTCTACAAATATATAGGTTGGCTGTTGACTCAAGAAACCAAGATTCTGTGATTATTCTTCCACTTAAGTGTATCGGATTTTAGAACTACTATTATATTCACTGTATATGGAATCTTCACTCACTGGCTTAATAGCTATTCCACATAGAGGATTTTACTACTACTGGAAATGAAAGAATAAACATCTCTAGAACTATAAGAAAAGGTTATACGATTGTCTTGATGGTGCTAAAACAATAAATCGAGCTCTAAACCTTTCCCAGTAAATATTACTGGGTCATTATTTACTGTATCAGATTAAGAAGCTGTCGAACTTCGTTCATATTAAATAAAGGTTGCTAATAATTGATCATCATTGTATTAGTAGCTTCACTTAGTTTTCCTTGACCTACTATGTGAGTAGTGGTGAGATTAGACGTAGAACATTGGGTAATGAAAGAAAGACAGTTGATAAAGTTGTGAATTCGTATCTATTGAGTCATAGTCTGTTATTTATGCTCAATATTTTCTGGAATGGAGTTAGGTTAGAAGAAACCTAAAGGTGTCCAGATCAACATACGATAGAAGCCCATGAAGTCAATGACTATCGGTCTGAATTGAATGAAAAGGTGTAAACTACTTGCTTAGGGTCTTCAAAATGTTTATTAGGGATTCAAAATAAATAATAATGTCTCAGGTAGTCATTATTTTACTCAAAATACTGTGTACTACACTAATCCTCATTCTTTTATCCTCCTTATTATGTTTACCTTATTTATTTACATATCTTTCCACTTCTTTTGGTTTTTGCTGTTTAGCAAAGTTACATCGGAAGACCGATCAGTGTTGGAACTTGACACCTACATCGGTTGCCAATTTATGACCGATTCATTTACATACTCCAGTTCTACAGAGGTTATTCATCATGTGAATAATTTAGTGGTAAAGTCGTAGCCTTCAGTACTGTATAACGTATATTTGTATATCCAAGTAAACATGACTTATTTTCAAGATTACAGAAATCCCTAGATGTTGTGAGCAATAACAGGTATGATTCAATCCCTCCTAATGATTAGTTTATAACCTCTAGCACATATATTTTCCTACGTATAGCAACTCCTTAAACATATTGAAGCCTATCTATTCGTCTCGTTTTAAATTTGACTCAAGCCTTTAAATTTTTGGAATTTATAAAGTTACTATGTTTGTTTCATTCAGCTTGTATCTGAGTATTTTTAACTGCAGTTTGTCTGGGAGTTAGTAGTAATATTTCTCCAGTTTCTTTCTGTATAAAACGCATGAGGAACATTCCTAAGTGTTTACACGTAGCTTTCTAAAGACCTCATTTTGTCGATTTTCATCTTTTTACTCACATACACTGAGTCAGTTTTGGCATTCTTAAGCAAAACTACAGTCTAATTATTGAATGCACTTTTGTTTATCATTTATAAATATTTCTATCCATTTCACAGTTTGCAGTGCTATCCGAAAACACTCACAGGATGCTTCATCGCCTGCTGATAATAATCAAATGGATGGCGGTTTCATTAAACCAGAACCTACAACTGCATTATCAGTAGAAGAATGGGATGATTTGCGTGTAAAAAAGGCTGTTTCTACAACATTTTGGGCTGGTACTTCTTAATCAGTTAAAGCGATAATAATCGAAGTGGTAAAGTACGTTATGTATGTCAGATAGTGTGAGTTTAGAGTGCAGTTGAACTGGATTTTTGAGTGATTGTTTCTGTCAGTTGCTTGTTAATTCAAGATAAAATTTTTACTAGTTAGTGACGTGAAATTAGACATTTTTGTTTCTCGAATGCTTTCTTACACCATTTGAGTAGGTTTGTAGTTATGTCGCCGAAAAACTTATTTATCAGCAGTATGTTTTCAAATTAACAATTCACTTGGTGTAATGAAATCTCTAGTAAGTACCATTAGTCTTCATTCAATCGTCTTGTCTCAGTTCTAAATAAACAAGACTTTTTGCACTTAATGAGTAGCATACTTTTTAGTTCGCCTTGAGTCGATGTTTATTATGAACTTCGCACTTATGAACTACGTATGGATACTTTAAAGCTTGTGCGTTTTCCACAATCTTCTAAAATATACCGCGATCAAAAGCTGAATATGGTGACCACTTCATTTATGTGAATGTATGATTAAGTACCTCATTAACAACCACGAAAGCGCGGTTGTTTTTCACTCACATGTATCACAAATGTCAGTGTGATGCCTGTTATCACCTAATTCCCTGTAGTCTCTCATAAACATCATTGGTCATATGTTGTGGGTATCTATTTATTCCAAAGCTTATTCAACGTTCCTTTGAATTATAGGAAGATGTTTGAAGGTAATAGTGCATTGGTTCTGTCGAATCCATAAGCGCGCAAAGCTTATTTTTGAATGAGTTTGTAGGTTCATCTGCAACCCTAATTGCAGTTTTTTGAAGAATCCTACTTAAAGTTCCTGATGTTCCATCCTTATAGGGTAATACAATGGAGGCTGTGAATTTCTTTCTACATGTGTTGTAGCTATTATTCCTACTCATGTTACTGTTATTTATTTGTTTCTTATGTGTTCGTATGAATTTATTAATAAAGTGCAGAGGATAATTAATTATTGCCGCTTTTTTTAAGTGCTTCAATTTCGTGTTTAGGACCTCGCACTGACTAGTCAGTTTTCTAGCACTATCATTTAGGTATTTGACTAAACTTGTCTTAACTGACATTGGATGAGATGACTTGAAGTCTAGATACCTGTTAGAATGCTACGGTCTCCTATAGGCCATAGTGTCCAAGTGTCGTTTTTAACCTGCAATCCAACAGGTAATTTTCCTTGTTCATTTTCTACCTCGTAAGTGGATTGGATTGCACCAACTGCCTAGTTTATGTGTATGAAGAAAATGTCTATATCTTTCGGTTTCAATACAGTAAATGTGGCATACACATATCTCCACCATATCTTAGAGGTGCAGCGATGTTTTCCCAACTATCCATAAATATATCTACTTCGATTGGAGATATTGGCGATCCCATTGCTACTCCTTCTGTTTGTCTAAATATTTTGTCCTGAAACTTGAAGACTGTGAAGGTCAGGCACAATGTTACACCTGATATGATCTCATCAACGATATCTTAGTTCTGTGAGGAAGTTATGAGTCAATATTTAGTTGCCTTCTGACTGCTTCCAGTGCCATATTGATTGGTATTTCAATATAAAGACTTGTTACATCGAAAATAACCGTTTTTTCATCCTCTTCCATATGTATGTAGGTTATTAAGTCTTAGTTTTAACTCGTAAGAATTTACAAGTCTGAAATTTGAACGGTTTCTAATAGGACACAGTATCAATGCTAATTACTTTGCTAGTTCATATGTTGGGTTATTTCTGAAGTTAACTATAGGTCTAATGGGACAACCTGGTTTATGAACCTTAATAGTACCGTAAATGCTGCTAAGATTATTAGTTTCAGACATTAAATTGAACCATTTATATTTACCTACTAACAGTAATTGATAAACTGTTTTTTTCTGTCTGCGTATTCTAGTTGTTTAACTAGCTTTACATTTAACTGCAGGAACTGTGCTTTCTTCTTTATATGTTAGAGAAGCACCATAAGCATATTGAATAAACGAAAAATCCAGTAAAAGATTTTGTCTTTTCAGTGGGCAAACGTTTTGCATATACAACATGAGATAGCTGTTTTTAGAAGTAGTTTAAAAAGAATAAACATGTGAGTTTCCTTGAAAAGTGGATTACACGAAGAAATATTTCTTTCAATCTAACCTCCGATGAATGGTTCTACGTCAGTATACGTGTCTTAAAAGTAATGTCAATACCAGCTTGCTGCTAGTAGTCTATTTAATTGTACTTACAAAACCCACGTTACTCATAAAGTTAACAATTAGGGAAATGAATGTACAAAATAATGAAGGAGGTAACTATACAGTTCATAAAAAAGTTATAACCTGACTAATTGTGCAATCAATTACTGAAAAAGTAAAAGTTAGTGTTCACCAAAAGCTGACGTCACTTGGAGGAACATTGGAAACCTGGGAGCATTGAATAGATATTTCGTCCTAGTATGGAACTTCCCAGGCGTGCCCACTCATGACCCCTCGAGGAGTAAACCTAGAACCTTCAGGTTCCGAGGCCAGTACGTTACTGTTGAACCACTGGGTCTGAATGTAATGGCTCATATTTCTAATTTCTGCTAGTTCATGATACACCACGATCTCCATCCAATGTTGTCATTGGGCGATTGTCCTCTTGTTCCAGTTGGTTGATCCCGCTGGTCACGACTTCTCATTGGAACTTCGGGAATCATCTGTCAAAGCTATTCACCAATAAGCTCTAGATTAATTCAATTTTGAATTGTGTGGGGATTTATTTATTGATTTCAGGTCGGTATTCACCACCGGTGGACAGCAGTTGGAACAAAATAGGAAATATGAACCATTGGATTCTGACTCAATGCTAACGTGCTGGCTGCGGAATCTAAAGATTCTGGGTTTGGTCCTTTGCGAGGTCGTAGGTGGGCACTGCTGAGGAGTCCCATACTAGGACGAAGCAGCTGTCCAGTCACCCTAGGTTTTGAGTGTTTCTCCAACTGGTGTCAGTCCATGGTGAGTACCAACGTGGAATCAATAAATAAATCCCCATAAACCTCAAAGTTGAAAAGTAAACATTTTTATCAGATGAACACGTTAATAATACATAACTCACGAAAATAAAATGGAATGAGACAAGAAATGAAATGGAAAAATGGAGTCGCTTGTCTGTAAATGTTTTAAGTTCATCAAATAAAAGTTTATTTAATTGTACAAACTTATTTAGGATATGTTTCTATAAGCCTATGATTTTTCAGTTGAAACTATAGATTCTGTTTAGGACGAACTGATAGGAAAATCTGTCTCTAGTGTGATAAAAATTCTTATGAGATATATTATAAGTGTATATTTTCTTAACACCTAGTTTTGCCCACACCAGAAGTCTAGCTATTGAATCTCATATAGGTGTCCAATCTCAGCAAAGTTCCTCATTAAACTGGAAGATAGCAATATGAACTGTATTGCTATTACATGAATGATACGTTCATATTTCGTAAGAATAACCGCCGGGTTTCTGGCCCTATGCTCTATCAACTGAGGTACTAGGTCCGACTGCTAACCAGATTTTTATTGCACTTCAATCACCATGCGTTTTTGCCCGACTACCGTATGAATTCATGATGCACTCCTACCCCTTGATAGTATTCACATCGTCTGTCTAGTCAGCACTTCTCATCCCATTCCAAATCTAGAGAGGAGGAGCATTATATTGATTATCATTTTGACTATCTGAGATAACCGTGGTTTGCAGACTGGTATTGATACTGGGTCCAAATTTTCATTTCTCCTTCAATCTCAGATAGTCAAAATGATAGTGTATATTAGTGTAAAATTAATAGTGGCCAGAGGCTAACTGGTAAGTAACGTTTCTTGTCTTAGTTCTCTTTATATATATATATATATATATATATATATATATATATATATATATATATATATATATATATATATATATATATATATATATATATAGGAATTTTCAATGAGTCGACTTTTAGATATTTCGGTATTTTAGCTTTTTAGACTTGAAGTTGAAATATAAACTTGATAGATTTCGATCAGTGTTGATGAAATATAATTTTATTTGTCTTTCAGATTATCGCCGTCTTTCATACAAATCCGTATACAGCCCATTTTTCGAACTTAATGAATTTTCATTTCGTGTTATTTTGTTCCATGCACCTATTTATTATGTGTATGTCACAGAATGCTTTTCTTTCCTTTCTACAGAACACTAAATGTGCTTGTAGATCACTTCGTTGGAGGTCAACTATTTGGAATTGCTGATCTGTAGTTTTTACTGAATAGCTTTTACTTTTTTTAATATATTCGATTCTACTTAACTATTAATTTCTTTTAGTTGTCTTGACCTTTGTCGCAATTCTTTTCTATCCAATGACTGTATATGGCATAATGAAGTTTTCCAGTGTGTACTCGTTTCCCAATTGACTTTTTGAGTAAACAAGACGTATCATGTCTCAGATTTTCTTCTTTTCAGAATATTTAATAGTATATTCTACGTGGCTTTTTTTTATGTCTAGAATAGTTATGTATCACTTTTATGTATCCAACAAGGTATAATCATATAAGCGTTAAACGTCTCAGATATTTTGTCATAATCAGAGAAATCCTAGTGAAAGCTCAGGGAAGTGGGTCGTTGTTTCATTCACTTATCATTCAGTCCAAACAACTCTTGTCAACCCTACATTTCTAATGTCTTGTTCATAAGTTCATGAAAATGCAAAAAGTAAAACTTACCATTGATATCGGTTCATCGGACTGTTTGTTCATCACTGTTGCATTTCCCCCTGCATTTGTCTTATCTAGTATTCATTAGGTGTGAGAAAAACAGCCTAGTTGTGTCTCAAGTAAAGCAAAATTAGAATACAATAGGTTGATCTATACTGGTAGGGATTTTTTTATTTTAAAGGATTTGGTTACTAATTCCATGTGACATAGTTTTAAATGTGCAGAAAGAACGATAGTTTGTGTACACTTTGGTGAAGATTCAACCGAACGGTTTTACAGTTATCGGTTACCAAATCATAAATTAATGTTGCATAAAAACTGTATTTATTTGCATCTAAACGTGTTCCAAATGCAAAGAATGGTTTACACATAATAAAGATTAGTTGTGTATTTATTCAAAAAGCCAAACATGCTGTCAAAGTAGGATTTCACATGACAGTACGTTGTTCGAACTACATAGCAGTTCGAAGAGAATTAAGATGAATGACAATCTCAAGATAGTATAATAAACAAGGAAATATGATGGGTAATCCAGAATCGGAGTGGATTATTTTGCTTCATTGTAATCGCTTCATGCTACGCCATTTAGGCTAACCAGTCATTCATTTTCAGCATTTAGTGAGTTACAACCGGTAACTGATAACCAGTATTTATTGTGTACATTCAAAGGATGTTTATTATTGAGTATCTACCTTGTCGTTTTTCTGTCGATGGACCGATAAAGTACCCTCTAATACTACAACCGTTACTTTACTGAAGTCCGCATTTTAATTTACTTAGGTATCTTGTTACAGTGAGATTTTATGTGTTTGATATTAAAATTATTACGTTAACTAGTATATGTGATACGGTATAGATTTATACAAGTCTTATCACCCAATAAGAAATCACTCAAAATCTCGACTTATAAACTCTGATGACTTAAAGCACAGATTAGACTGCGTACACTTAGATGACAATGAAAAAATGGTTAGCTTTGACATAACTAGCCTTTACACAAATATACCGATCGACATGACTCTAGAGGTTGTTAGAAATTGACTTAAGGATGACAAAGAACTTACGCATCGAACTAAGGTGCCGATCGAGGAAATCATGCTAGGAGTACGATTGTGCGTAATAATATTAACACACACTAAAGGTGTTGCCATTGAATCACCGATATCCCGTATCGTCGCAGATATGGAAAGATGGGCCTTCAAACATTTAGTCCTACTCCAAAAATATGGGTCAGAAATGTAGGTGATACGTTTATAGTACTAGAATCAGAACACATCAATAGGTTCTTGGCACATATAAATTCATCAGTGAATGAAATCCAATTTACTTGTGACTTAGAAAGTGATGGAGGTGAGCTAGCAGTGTTGGATTGCAAAGTTAAACGAACACAAGATGGTAGTTTATAGACTAGTGTCTATAGGAAACCTTCCCATTCGAATCACTACTTAGACTTCAAATCCTCCTAACCCATCTCATTTAAAGTAGGCTTAGTTAACCACCTAATTGATGGGGCGAAAAAGCTTACTAGTAGACCAGAAAATCTGCTGCAAGAAATTAGATACATCAAGAATATCTTGTGTCACAATAATTACCCACCTAAGTTGATAAATAAATTCATAAGAAACCGAAAGAAAAACATTAGCAGTGGTAGTAGTAGTATTAATACAGGTGTTGTTAATAATCCTACTACTAATGGTAATAATCGTGACAATGTTGAGACAGTTCGAAGCCTCTGCTGTGTTGCCATACAAAGAAGTTAGCTCAGAAGCGTTACGAAGAATTCTCAATAAGGCTGGGATTAAAGTAGCACATTAACCGACACTCGCTTAGAACCAAGCTTTGTAGGTTAAAAGATCCTATCGATGCAGTTAAACAAGTTAATCGATCACGGTCAATTAGAGTAACAGAGCACAAAAACCCAGCTAAATGAAGATTAGTAGATCCTAGCTCTATATGCAATTACACAGTAGGGTGTGACAGAGCGATAGTGTTTAAGACTAACTTGGTTGGGTAGAGAGATTGATTGATGACCGAATCTTTGTTTATCGAATCAACACCGAATACGTGCAATCGAAATGATTCTGCACGTGTGCTGGATGTCTGGAAAATTCTACCACCGTTGTGATCACAGAGAAGGGTAGAAAATTAGGACTATCTAAAGGATGTCCCAAAGTTGTTGAGTTAGGATATATGAATAGGGATAATAAATTGTGTCCGAAAAGTTATCCAGTAAATGATACTGTTTAGCTATGTGGCGTTTCTAATAAACAGACTAAAATGGAATTGTAATCAATCACAGTGCCCAAGTTTTACTCTTATGTCAGTCTTATCGTTCTTCGATGAAAGACGTTTCGTATATATTTGTTTTAGATGATAGGGTCAAACTTCAAGTGTATGAATTGCAAGCAATTGTCGAAGTTACACTTCAATTAGAATTATCCCCTGTACTCTACATATATTAGTTTGTTATGCTATTGACAGATGCATTTGATTGGCTTAACTATCTCGAATATGCTTTATGCATAAACAGCTATTGTCTTATTCAGTTTGGAGAAATAAGTGATGCTATAATTAATACTACACAAAATAGTGGCAAAAAAAATAATCTTATCGATCGATTGAGCAATATATTAGCCTTTGTGTTGTACCTCAATATCAACTTATTTATTGTATACACTTCTATACATACAATTTAGCACACATGCATGATTACAAATGTGCGTTTTTCCTGCATTGTTGAATACTTAAGATTTAATCAGTTTTGGAGACTTGATGTAGTTATAAGTGTTGGGATTGGTCACTTTGAATTTGCATTGTATTATTGTGACTTTTCTTCCTTTTGAGTTGAATCTTGCTGTCATCATCCTCATCGTGGTGGAGATTGGTTCTCATTGCCCGAGAGCCTTCGAGCAATAACACTATGAATGTAATGTTTATTTTGCACATTGCAAGCTATTTCAAGATGCTGTCCATTGCATTTTCGCGGCCATATATCATGTAGCTCATAATCGACCACATTGACGCATATTTATTCTCTTCAAGGTTTGGAACACGTGAATACTGTACATTTTTATGTTTGCCATGCTAAATATAAGTAGTTTATCCAACTCGTTTTTGTTTATGATTCTGCCTCATACCTCTCCACATATATCGAGATATGAATAAAGTAATTAATGGGTCGAAAGTCAGTATTGGTTGTGTTGCTTTGTATTCGATAATATAAAGTCAATTACTCCTAAAGTAACACTGCCCATATCCAAGTCCTCCTAAATGACTGTTGCAAACATAATATGATCAGGTAAACTATCGTTTATCTACACATATACCGTTGAGGTGACTTGATTAAGAAGAAATCAAACTAGCGTTTATTGTATATATATATATATATATATATATATATATATATATATATATATATATATATATATATATATATATATATATATATAATGTATTTCTGTAAACCAATGTATACACTTCCTCCTAGATGTGTTTTAAGTACACTTCACCCCCATTCAACCGCTGTATGATGCTAAATGCCAAGTGATTCACAATGGAAAGCTCAGCGATGCCTTTGAAATGGAGACAAGGTTGCCTTCTATCACCGATCATCTTCCTGATTGTGGTCGACTGAACTGGATGATACAACAAACTGTGAGGAGTGAGAAGAGGGGCATGCGTTGTTAGACCGATGTAAAGGCCCTAGAAAATTTGCGTTTCACCGATGATGATTTGTGTCTAATGTCGCATAAACTCGAAGATCTACAGGTGAAAACTAACAAGTTGACAAAAGAGGCAAGGTAGCGAAAACGGGACTTCAAGTGAATGTGGAGAAGATGGAAGTGATGAAGATACCCAACCAACAACAGCAACAAGCACCAATCACCATTAACAGGAGAAATATAAAGGAAGTAGTCTCTTTCACCTACCCAGTCAAGGCAGCATCATTTCAACTACAGGTGGCGACACAGACTGAGGATGTGAAAGCCGGGATCGGAAAAGCAAGACAGGCCTCCTTTATCTGAAATCACTGTACAGATCTACTGCACTGCACTCAGCATAAAAAGCAAGATCTGGATTCTCAACACTAGTGTTAAGTAGGTCAGTGCTTCTATATGATGCTTCAGAGACTTGGGGCGTTACGAAAAGCATTTCCAACAAACTACAGATATACATCAGCAGCTGCCACCTACTCTCACTCGATACCGACACTGCAGATCAGATGACCGGCAAGAATAAGCAACAAGGAACTCTGGCTGGTAACGAGTCAACCAACAACCTACCACTCAACAGATATACAAAAGGAAGTGGAGATGGATTGGGCATACACTGAGAAGACCGATTGGGTACATCATGCGTCAGGCCAGGCCTTCGAATAGAACCCAAATAGGAAACGACTAGTTGGACATCCGTGGCGAGGGTGATATGGAGGAGATCATGTGAGGAAGAAATGAAAGCTTGTGTGCAGTCGTGGTGCCAGATTAAGAAGACTGGAGAGAAGAGAGTGAAATGGAGACGTGCAACTGAATTACTATGTTCCACTAGGAATCCAAAGGACAAATAATAATAATATGGTGATAGACTACTTACTGAATCATTTAATGTTACACATCACAAAGTGTATACCGGTGATAGATAAGTTAATTACCCATAATTATGAATTTTAATTTTCTGTATGTTATGACAACATTTCTAAAGAAATTTAAACAAAGTTTAATAAGTTTGAAGTCAACGCTTCAAAAAGTCATATTCTTATTTCATCAAATTATTGTGACCCAGTGACCTAATAATATTATTATCATCACAAGACTGAAAGGTCCTGACTAAAATTCTATACAGTTTGAGTACTTTCTCTTGTGTTTATCTAATTATTGTCACCCTAATCATTATATTTTCTTTATTTGGAAACTATTGTCAAGAAAAAATTAAAGTAGGAGTTGGATTCCTTATTACTTCTTAGATTAGTATGGATATTCTACGAATTCCGTCTTATTTCTATTATTATATATATCATACAATGAAGCAGTATTATTGCTCATAATCATATTGAACTAATCATACAACTTACTGGTTTACTTTTATAGCTCTATTGTTTTTCATACTTCGATTTTGTTGTTAATAATTATAAAGGAAATATATCTGTGAAACTCTAATCCATTTATCCACTGCCCAACCTATATATAGTCATGTTCTCCAAATATGTGAAATTGGTACTGATTGATTCATATGTATACTCAGTTATCTTGTTAGATTGTTTCTCTCTCCCGTCCTAACACGTTATTGTGTGTAACATCATGAACAGCTACGGTTGTTTTTCAAGATCCCGTATTCACTTCAAAATCTATCCACGTTTCTATGTTCTCATAACGAAATTAATGAGGGTGGACTAGTTTTACCTATGTACTTGACTCTACAATCAGTATATGAAATATGGTAGTCGATGAAGTTTGTCTTTAAGGAAACTTATAGGAAACTAACTTACAGCCTTGTTGCGACCCACTGGGCAGGACCTCTAGTATGATTCATTTAAATATTAACCTTATGAGATTTTAAATTCTCACCCATGGCCATTTTGTCATTACTCTTCTTTGTGTTTCTGATTGCACCATTAACAGCATCCCTATCACTACTGCTTATTCGTTACTGGATAAACTTATAGGCTTAGGTGTTGAGCAGTAGTTATTCTTCTACGTTTTCATTTCTTGATGTAGAATTTTTAAATTAGTAGTTAGTTTTTTGGACTTGTCAATCAAACATTTGATTCAGTCTTAGTTAATGTTGGATGAGATGACCCCAAGTCTAAGTATCGATTAGCATTTGAAGGCTTTTTGTAGACACTAGTAACATAACTTCTGGTGTGCCTTCATTTGATTTAGCACTCCAAAGTGATTTTCTAGTTCATGAGTGAACTGAATTGCATCGACTACTGAGTTCATATATGTGAGAGACATGTCTATAGTGTTGTGATTTTAACTGTAAATGTGGCATCATATACCTTCGCCTTTCTTTTAAAGCAGGGTTAAACCTCTTCAAGGTAACATGTTCACAACTGTCCGTAGATATAGTTAATGCAATCAGGAATATTAGTACTCCCAGACCAACTCCTCTTTGTTTTCACATCCTGTTTCGAAACGTTAGATCTGTAAAAGTCGGTCATAACTGCAATCTTAAAATGATTTTCTTCATTAGTATCTCGGTCCTAAGAGTGAGCTGTCGATCATAATTCGTCTCAGTCATGACAACTTCAGTACTTATTATGTGTCAGTGTAAAGTTTTGTTGCCTATAAAGTAGGTAATTTTTTCGTCTTCTAATTTAGTATTCTTCAATATCTGTTCTGTTTTGGTTCATAGGGATTAATAATCCTCGATTTCAAATAGTTTATAGTGGGGTCTAGTATCCTTCCTAAATATTTATGTAGCCCATGGGTTAAAGTAACCTGGCCTGGTTAACTAGTTCACTAGTTACTAGCCGGTCCTAAGCCTGAGTAAAGAGGGAAGGTTGGGCGTAGGGCTGGCTAGCAACCCTACCCCATAAAACAAATCCAACCGCTAAAGAAACTTCAAAGCACAAACGAAATATAAAAAATGATAACAAAATTATTCCTCGCTGGAATCAGATAGGCGAAATGACGCCGGTTGGTGAAAGCCTTCGGGAAGCCAATTGGCCGATGTGTCTTCTCACTCTCGATGAAAGCGAAAGTAAACGTGGGGACACGGAATGTCCACACGATGTTTGAACTCAGCAAGGCAGCCCAGATTGCAAAGGAGATGAAGAGGTATCACATTGAAGTGCTTGGAATTTGCGAAAGCAGATGGAATGTAAGTGGACTCTCCAAACTGTCAACTGGAGAGGAGTCAATAATCTACTCCGACATTGTCACCCAGACGACAACCACGAGCACAGCACACTGAGTTTTGGAGTGGCTACCATGATGTCCCCAACAGCAACGAAGGCTCTCATGCAATGGGAACCAATCTCCGCGACGATTAGGATGATGACAGCAAGGTTCAACTCAAAAGGGAGGAAGGTCACAATCGTACAGTGCTACACTACGTACCTAAAATAATGCAGATGAAGAGAAGAAGGAGGAATTTTACAGACGAATGCAATCAGCACTGGACAATACCCCACCCCAGATGGCGATATCGAAATTCCAATGGGCGACATGAATGCCAAACTGTATGGAGCAGACAACACAGGAAGAGAACTAACCATGGGTCGAGAAGCACTCAGTGAAATGATGAGAAAGAATGGAGAACTGTTTGCAGAATTCTGTACATTCAACTATTTGGCGATTGGAGGCAGTGTGTTCAAGCACAAGGATATCCACAAAGCAACATGGATTTCACCAGACGCCAGGACACACTAAAAATCAGATCGATTTTATCTCAATCTCAAGACAGTGGAGACGCAGCGAGCCTACTTGACACAAGGTCAAGAAGAGGAGGAGATGTAGACTCAGACCACTATCTAGTGCAAGGAACCTACCCTCAAAATCAAGTTGAAAGCCTTGAGGGAGTTGGTGACAGACCACAGTTCAAGTTCAACATCCAGATCAGAGAGTGAAGGATGAAACTACAAGGGACATCTTCATGGCAGCCATCAGGACAAAATGGGAGATATCGAGCAACTTTCCAGAAGGAACCTGTGCTGATGAACACTGGAAGTCTTTGAAAGCTATGTGGAAAGAAACCT